CCATTTGTGTTTTGTTGGATTTTTTCTCTTTTGATTTAAGATAAAACCCAGTAAACCTGCTTGTAGTTAATGGACATATCTCATTTAAACTTAAATTACATCATATGCAAGTATTTGCAAGTTCATAGTCATTGCCTGTAAATGTCTTACTTTTTCTAACTCTCAGATTTTTGGGGGAGGATGGAGGGAGGCGGTAGAGGGAGGGGAATGCAGTAATAAATTAAAATAAACATTGTTTAGTCTTTAAAGAAATAAATGATCCTTAACTTTGTCCAACAGTTGTGAACCAGTGGGCAGTATTTGCTATCCGAAATCTCACTGAAGAGAATGAGAGAAACCAAGAGCTTATTATGCAGATGGATGACGAGGGGCTGCTAGACAGTTGTGCACTTAAGAGTATGGGTTTAGAGGTGGAAAAACAAGATGGCAAGTTAATTCTGAGATCTCTCGGGGAAAAAACCTCATGAACAAAACATTAAGAACGGCCAAATCACTAAAAGATGATTTCGCTTCTAAAATATTTTTCCCTGCTCAGACAATCAAGATTTCTTCAATTTTAGTTCCAGTCTGATGTAAGGGTTACATTCATTGTCAGAAAAACTGGCAAATGATACTTCTGCCTCACTGTTGTAAACAAAAGGACACCTACACATTTTCTAAGTACCTAGGTAAATAAACCTGTGGAAAAAGATCCTAGTTTTCAGATGGTTGAAATTTCATTACATTCTTGTTTCATTAGTAGAAAGATGTCATGCGTGCAGTATTGAGTTGTTATAATTTCCATTGCTGAACCTGGAGATAACTATCAATAAAAGCTCAACAAAGAAATAACTGCTTTGCAGTCTGCCTTCTCCATTTAAATGATCTCTGCTGAGTCAGGGCTAAACAGTGAAAGTACTCCTTTTCAATCGTAGTGTTTAAATATCTCTGCTTATATAAGGATCGGTGGAACATCGGATGTACATAAATATTTAGTGAATTTAACACCACATGCCTTCTGTGTATTTAAATTATTAGTAAATTGTCTTTTCTACCCTCCTACTTTTCAGTCTTCATGACAAGTATATTAAAAACAAAGCTGAAGCTGTTGTGGCAACAGATGCTACATTCCTTTGCAATGGGGCATGTCTCTGTTTTGGAGACTTGGGTGTTTGTTTGAATTTTATTTGTTCCTTTGGATGGTAAGTCAGCCCACTTTCCTTTTATTTTGCACTTCTCATGGTTTTCTGAACTCTGGCAGACTGCTGAAGAGGTAGTTTCTCACTGTGATTAATTCTAGCAGTTTCTTTTCACCCCTCTGCCTTTCCAAAACATTGACAAAACTCATTTCCAGTTAATTAATTCAAGAGAGGCAGAAGAATGGAAGGCCCTGCCTCTTCATTTTGGGTACCCTCCGATATTGTTGTTGGACCCTGCCACTGTGGAATGTGGCATGAATGAGATGGAGGGAGAAGGGGGGTGAAGAAGGGGCGGGGGGCATGGTTAACTCTGTGTGTGCCATAGCTTTGCCCTGATAGCCAAGAAATGCAGAAGCAAAACAAGAATTACAGCTTAGTATTACTAGCGCTTGTATATCGTTGCTGTCGTCTGCTTCTCTTCAGTTGTGTCCACCAGGAAGGTCCCAGAAATGTTAAATTGCTCTTCTTGTTGTCACCATTTAACATCTTTCTTAAATGGAAAGGTAGGATTATGTCCTAAAACTGCCTGTATGGGTAACAGATACTCAGCCATGTGCATCAGCTTTTGCTCCTCCAACTCATTTTTTGATTTAAAAATGGAAAAACCACATGGTACATTCAACTATGAGAAATATATAGTAATATTTAAAACTGATGGTGAATATGGTCAGACTGAGATCTTTTCAAGTTAACCATAAGGTTTCACTGTCTACCATGCTGACCAGTTGGGACTATGGAATTGACCTAATTGACCTAGTGTGATTTTAGTCACTTGCTGGTTTTAAAGGCAATGATATAAAACTGATCTGTTTATTAAGTAAAGGATGTATATAAAGGAATAATGACAATAGGAACAAAGACTATAACCTATGTTGCTTTTAGTGACTTCTTACTTTAAAAATAAATAGGGAGAAAAGTGTCCTTTGTTTTAGCAAAGAATAATATTAATATAACCAAAATGCTTTATTTGCTTTTTAAAAATAATTTGACAGGAGCATTTCAGCAGATACTAAAAACTGTTGTGATAAGTGCTGATTTATAAATTCAGTTCTTACAAATGTTTTTGGTTCTTCTTCAGCACATAGTCTGTCAAATTGTGGTTGCTCAATAATTTCCATAAGCCTTAATGCTTGTGTTTAGGCCAGAATTCATTTGGCAGTTTAATTACTGTGTCACAGACAATTTACAGCTGGTTATGTTTCATTTTTTTAATCTTTATCTCTTCAACACAGCAGAAAATTCATTATTATAGCACCTAAATGGCAAAAAAAAATTCTACTCTAAAAAACAAGTTTTATTCAGAAGGCTACATCATTCAACTTTAAAAGGAAAGAATTAAACTTTTGCTAACAAAGGAAATCAAATATAATAGCACCTAGAAATAAAGTGAAGTCATTTTCAATTGAGTAATTATAAAACTTCAAACATTTTTATTTTAGCACCACTACCTAGGAAACTCATGTTAATTTAAGAGAGAAAAAAAAATACCACAATCATCCTGAAGAGAAAATGAACTTTTTGTGTAAGGAAAAAAATGCAAAGAATTTCCTTTTATTTAGGGTAATAAAGAGTTAAAATCCTGTTCACAAAGCAAATCCAGAAAGAACTTTGGTTGTGGAAAAAGCAGTGGGAGTCCCTTTTTCCTTTTAAGCAGTTGGGAATAGACGGTTTGTTTTTTTTAACTCAATGGTTGTGTACCCACCAATGGAATACGCACTAACCCGTAAATATAAGCCAAATAATAACAAACACAAATAAATAAAAGGGTTTTGTGTGTTTCAGTACATAATGGAGTAATAGTTATGTTTTCTAAATGGGAAATGTAGGGCTTTCACAGTGGAGAACATGCTGATTACTGTATTGAGTGGCTGGCTTTTGATTTTCCTAGATGGATTAATTCTCAGAACACAACAGCTTCCCTGTCCTCCCCCAGTGGAGTCCTAGTCTCCAATAGGCTTGTTTTATATGCTAAGGGATTAATACAGCACAGCAATCGGTCATAAAAAGCAAGCTTTATTGAGTTTGTAAAGTGGCAGAACAGTCAGATCAAGTCTTGTGACCATCTTATTGCTTTTGAGTGCTTTCAAACAATAGTGATCAGGTTTTTCTTTAAGGTCTATTTTTTATTAAAAGTGAATAGGGAGCTAGTTTTCCATAATGAGTGGGTAGATTTTTAAAAAGCTTTTTTGCAAATTGTGAGAAATAAGGTTAAATGTTTTGCTGGTTCTAATAATTTAGATTCGTTTTGCCTAACACGCTTGTAAAATACATTTTAAAATGAAACCAACAAAAAATAAAATCCCACTGTTGCAATCTTTATTTAGCAATTGATTTCACAAATTTAAGGTATTTGGGTACAGCCTCACATTGTGAATAATTTTTCATTTGCAAATAAAGGGGAAATTTTTGGAGTTTTGCTATGCAAACACATCAACCTCAAAATGTGAAATCAACTGATTAATTCTATGTATATTTTTTATGTTGACTTGGAATTTGCTGTTTTCTTGCAGTACTCTAAGTAGACTTCATATTAAATGTGTAGGGAGGGTGAAACTCGTGAAGTAATGCAGAACCACTCAATTTCCCTTCCCTTTTCACTTCCTTCCTAAAATCTCGAAGGCTTCCCTATGCCATATAGACCACTTTGGTATTTGGGGGTGGCTGTGGCAAGGGGGTAGGGAGTGGAGGTGGGCTGGGGGCCAGGAGTGTCTCTTGCGGGGCCCGAGGAGCCGGAGCCGACGCGGCTAAGCTGGGCGGTGGTGGAGTTCCCTTGGTGCTGTCCTAGGTCCTGATGGAAGCGCCCAGCGCTCCGCAGGAGGAGAGCTCTGCAAACCTCCAGCGCCCTTCATGAGGGAAGCAATTTCAGAATTTTATTGCCACCTCTTCCCTAATTTCCTTTAGAGTTTCTCTGTAGTATGTTGAGGTCGTATCTGGCTAATGTTGTGTGTGCTCTTTTTAAAATGTACCCGAAGACAGACGTTCCTTGCTGTGTTACATGTGGGAGGAGATATTTAGGTCTTTGTTGTTTATGGGCAGAACTGTTAGCAGTGTCTCTGTTCAGGGTGAAATGATGCTTTCCACGTTAAGATCTGGTTCCAATTGCTTGTGGCTTGGCCAAATCATAACTGTTCAAGTGAAAATTTTCCACGCTGCCTTAGACTTAGTTGATTTCTTTACAGGAACTTTCTCTCCTGGTCATTTCTGATAAGAGTCAGTAATTTTTGAGGATGAGAAACTGACGCTGGTTTTTGTGTATGTTAATAGTATCCTTAAAACATTTTTTTAAAGACTATTTCCAATATAGATGAGGGTTGTGCATTTTCCTTCTGTCATAATCCAGTTCAAATTTGGCTGCATTGTAAGCTTTAGAAATCCTTGGTTTATACATTGTAGTAGAGACTTGTGAGAGCTGAGCTAAGTGCTGAATTTGCTTTTTTGTTTTCATTTTTCCAGTCATGAATCCAGGGTCTGTACAGGGCGTTTTCAACAGCTATTGTTCCTGACTAGTGTAGTGCTGGCAAAAGAAATCAAGAACTGAGAGACTCTCTGCATTTCTCTTGAAAGCTGCCTGCTGGTGTCCATCTAACATGGAGTAAGGAACTGGTGAAACTGGACATAGTAGCAGCAAATAAAAATGGATCTCAGAGGGTGAGAGAGGGAGTAGTTCAGGTATTTCGGGTCCAAGAGAGAACTTCTAGAAGATGGGGAACACATTATTAGTCTGTTTGTAAAACAAACAAGGGAGTATGATTATTTTGCATAATTCCTTCCAGATTCTGACAGTTGCAGAATTTTGCAATCCAAAGTGTGTCCTTTAGGAAGAGCCTTCCCTCTCCAGATGAAGATCAAAGCAATGTGTAGTTTCACCCCAAATTTATTTTGAGCATGATTGGCAATGTACGTCTTCTTATTGCCTTATGAGAATCAAGAATGCTGTGCTGTCTGGCTTAGCATTTCATGCAGCCTTTCATCTTACTCTAAAAGTAGTATATAATTTTAAAAAAATAGTTAAAGTATTTAAATTGAAAACAGAAAATACGTAAATAAATCAGAGAATTCTGATTTTTCATGTCTTTTTATAGGAGAGGAAAAAGCAGCTGGAGGTAAAGACAGATGGAAGGAAGTCCAGCACATATAAAATTAAACTCATCCTCTTCTTGCTGCATGGCATCTCAACTCAGTTCAGAAGCACAGCTAATGCCTCACCAATAGTGATGTAAAGACATCACTGAAGTTTCATTAGTTAGACACGCTGTAGTTTGTACTTAATCTTGTTTAAACTTAGTGGA